GCCGTGGTCGAAAACCTGTCAAGAGGACATCGTCATCATCATTCCATAATATTTTTTTTAAATTACCTATTTGTGACACATAAACATACAAAATCATGGAGAACGAGTAAATTTTATTTAACCTCTACCTCATTCAACATTTTGAAGATTGAAGAAGTTATTAGTTCCATTTGTGTGTAAAGTAGCTATCATTTGAAGTCAACAAAGTTAGCGAATAGACCTGCTATTTATGGTACCACTGTAAAAGCATACATCTATCATCTATCATCACTTAATAAAAATTATACAAACAGATTTACTAATCTGAAGAAATAAATATCGTCTTAAATTCATGAAGAAGCACCTTCAGGAGTTTCAGCATTCAGAAATCGCAAGCATAAATAAACTTCATTAATAACTATATTTTTTTATCTTTGAACATAGACATATACATCATATACATAGATTACAAGTATTAAACATACAGCAGTGCGATTATTTAACTCTGGAGGGAATCGTTCCATCCAAATTACCGTTCCATCGATTCATCATCATTACAGCCCTTCACAAGTCCACTGCTGAACATAGGCCTCCCCCAAGGAATGCCACAAAGCACGGTCCTGAGTCACCTGCATCCATCGACTTCCTGCATATCTTACCAGTTCGTCACTCCATCTAGTGGAGGGACGCCCTACACTTCATCCGCCGGTACGAGGCCGCCACTCGAGAACCTTTCTTCCCCATCGGTTGTCGGTTCTTCGAGCTATATGGCCGGCCCATTGCCACTTTAGCTTACTAATCCGTTGGGCTATGTCGGTCACTCTGGTTCTACTGCGGATATCCTCATTTCTAAGTTTATCACGCAGAGAAACTCCGAGCATAGCTCTCTCCATAACTTGCTGAGCGACCTTGAGCTTCCTCATCCGGTCAACAGTGAAGTTCTATCGATTACAGCCTATTAAAGTACACAGCTGAACGGCAGGTGCGAACCCGCTTATCACGCTTCATAGACGAGTTTTCAACCGCAGTTTTTCATTATCTACCGACTTAAAAAGGTAGGAGGAATTACTCAATTCGACTGTATATTTTCTTTTATGTGTTTTACCTCATAACTTTTTTCTGGGTGAACCGATTTCAATGATTCTTTTTTATTTGAAAGCTGGCGCTTCTCGTGTGGTCCCATAGTTTTACCTCGTAACTTTTTTCTGGGTGAACCGATTTCAATGATTCTTTTTTATTTTAAAGCTGGCGCTTCTCGTGTGGTCCCATAGTTTTACCTCATAACTTTTTTCTGGGTGAACCGATTTCAATGATTCTTTTTTATTTGAAAGCTGGCGCTTCTCGTGTGGTCCCATAGTTTTACCTCATAACTTTTTTCTGGGTGAACCGATTTCAATGATTCTTTTTTATTTGAAAGCTGGCGCTTCTCGTGTGGTCCCATATAAATTGTCAATTGATCAAGGTTTGACCAATAGTTTTTGAGTTATTCTTAATAATATTTATATTGTACAATTTTTTTTATTTTGAATTATTTTGAGTTATCAGTAAGACGCTACTGCCTATCTCCTGTTTCAGTTTCCCTTTGTCGACTCTTACGACACCCACGGAACGATATGGAATGGTGGATATTCTTACACGATTTAATTATATGGATTAACGTTCGGTTTCATTGTATCGTTAAAGTTATACCAAAATAAACAGTTTTTTTACATTAATATCTGGCAACAAAATAATATTAAAATTAAAAACAATACGCAGTTGCGGAATGGTTTCCACCAGAGTTACATAATCGCATTACAGTTTTTTTATTCCCTTCCCTCCGACGGCATCCACGGGGCAAAAGAAGATTATCAAACTCTCTTAAACCACTACCGCTTGACGTAAGCCGTATTACGTAATACATTTTAGACCAACGAAGCACATTTTCATTTTAAAATGCATTTATATTTATAGTTTCTCTTTTTCTCCTATAAAGACCTATTTAGCGTTAGCAACACCAACAGTATTAAATAGTAATAGAGGTCAGTTTCAACTTAAGAATTATTCTTGAGTACCTTAGCAATTCAAAAACAACTTTTAGTTTTTGGATTCGGCTATTGGAATTTGGTAGAACTTAGAGTCTAGAGACTTTATAACGTAATTTTTATTTTAAAATACACATGATTTCTATTGATTCTATTATCAAATTCATATGGTGGTATAATATCAAGTGATACAAATTCTACATTAATTTTCAATAAAATAATTTTATGTTATTATAGTTTATTCTTTGATTTTTTTATAGGATAGGGTGACTAACGAGCACACAGTCCACCTGATGGTAAGTGGTTGCTGTGGCCCATAGACATCTACATTTATCTTCGTTTGCGAATCAAAATGCAGATGCGTTGTCACCCGTGAGGACTAAGATGTAATGCCTCTTTTCCAGTAAAAAGGGTCTCCGGTTCTCTACACTCACCATACGAAACACAGCAGCGTTAAGCTGCTATTTTACGCTGGTATTCTGTGAGAGCGTGTTCCTTCCCCGGTCGAGCCGACCCATTCTTGCTACAACTGTACTACTAATATAGCTGCAGCATGGCTCTACCACGTGAAAGTGATCTAGCCTTATGAAGAAAACTTATCAAGTATTATAATGTGTGAGACAGATTTCAATGAATTTCTTTTACTGATTTTTTTTTTTTGTCCGTAAAGTTACAACACAAATACACCTAAAATAGAAAACCAAGCTACTCAAACTAAAACTTTCGTGGACTAAATCCACGAGGAATCAGCGCATGAGTACCGAAAATTATTTGACCTCAATGTTTTATGCGATTCTCTTAAAAATGTCCTACTGATGATATAAATGTTGTAGTTGTATGAATGTTACCAACTCGGTGCCATATTGTTTAAACCGATTTTTTTCTTCAGTTGAATTATTATTTTCAAACGGGATACATTTTTTTTTATATTTTTTGATGAAACACGAATCAAAAAGGTCCCATGACTTTTTACGAATGATTTTCTTTATCCTCTCTTAAGGATTTTTTTTATAGGATAAGGGTGACAAACGAGCATACAGTCCACCTGATGGTAAGTGGTTGCTGCGGCCCATAGACATCTACATCTATCCTCTGTTACAAATCAAAATGTAGATGCGTTGTCATCCGTGAGGACTAAGATGGAATGCCTCATTTCCAGTAAAAAGGGCCTCCGGCCACCCGCACTCACCAAGCGAAACGCAGAGGTAAACCTCTACTTCACGCTGGTTTTCTGTGAGGTCGTGGTACTACCCTGGTTCGAGCCGGCTCATCCGTGCGACAGCAAAAGCTGCCGCGTGGCTCTACCACTGTTAATTATGTTATTAAGTATTGTCTAAAGAAACTATTGTTTAAACTTTGCGCCGACTGCTCATGCACTATTTGGAAATGCAATAATTGACATAATATATTGTATTACATACACGATATATGTATATTTATAATAATAAATATCGGATGTATATAATCGATCGAATAGAATTGATTTGCTACCAATTTACATGCTAAACATCAATTTAATAACGCTTAATGACTCTTTTTTTAAAATTATGTATGTGTTATCAATTTCTATGGATATATCGATTAGTATGTTACACAACATAAAATTAATAACAAATAAAATTAAAATCAATAATAATTGAATGTCTTTTAGTTTGATTTTTTGCACTTCTCACACAACTCGCTTGTAAGTAAATGCGCGATGCGAAGCGAAATGTCAGACTGGTCAGGCCTATAAGTAAATCTTATCTTAGGCGCATAGCTCGATGCTCCAAATATAGCAGTAGCGAGTGAGACAATTACTTTCTACGACAACTCCTCATATCGGTGAGACGATAAATTGGCTGCTATGTACGTAAGCACTCTATTTCAAATTGATATTTTAGAATTAAATTGTTCACCATTACAATATAATATGTACATATTATAGTGTAATGGTGTATGTATGTATATTTTTGAGTGTTTATAGCAAATATAAATACTCCAAAAAAAACTAAACACAAAATAATAATTTACATAAAACATCACACTTGATTGTAGCAAAGAGGGCTACCGACTCAGCATAATGAATTTTGGATTTTGAACGTACAAGAGCCATGCTACAGCTAAATTATGGTTGTAACACGAATGGGTCGGCTCGACCGGGGAAGGACCACGATCTCACAGAATACCAGTATAAAATAGCAGCCTAACACTGCTGTGTTTCGTATGGTGAATGTAGAGAACCGGAGACCCTTTTTACTGGAAACGAGGCATTCCATCTTAGTCCTCAAATGTGGCAACGCATCTGCACTTTGATTCTTAATCGAGGATAGATGTAGATGTCTATGGGCCACAGTATCAAGTTGCCATCAAGTGGACTGTGTTCGTTTGTCACCCTTATTCTTTATAAAAGATAATGCTACAGCATCAGAGCTCCCAGCGCTGATATGCTGTCGAAGCAAGTCGGAGAAACATAATTCGACCCGAGAACAATCACTGGCCATAAACATTATTATTTTAAAAGAATCACTTAGGTGCAAAGTTCACAATATAAGTTCCATCCATTACAGCCTATAAAATTCACTGCTGAACATAGGGCTCCATAGATTTGCTCACAGGAGGTATGTTTACCATAGTTTCCAAACTTGGCAAGCAAGTTGGAAACCTCAGTTTTTTCATTTTTTTATTTGTTATAATAAAGAGGCTGCTGCTTGTGTCGCCTCTTACGATACCCACATGATAATATGTGGTAGTGAATATTCTGACACCATCAGTGCACGGGAGATTTTTTAAATATTCTTATAATATTTTGTGTAAGTAACAATTTTACGCGTTGAAGGCGTTTGAAAATAATACATTATGGTTGTCTGGTGTATTACATCACTTTGACTCTAGAAAAAAAGTTTAGAATTTCTTAAATATCATCCCATAAACCTTCTATTATAAAACTGGAACTGGAATATAGAAAAAAAACTGGTCTTAAAATCCTAAAAATAAATAACGAGTATACGAACTCACCGTCCGCAGGCGCGTTTATAGTCCGCCTCAGACGTTTATTCTCATCCTGAAGCCGCGCTACAGCTGTCACCAATTCAGCTGACTCAGTGCGCCATTGCTCTTCGATGGCTTCTATTTCCTGTAAGGTAAACAAAAGATAAAAAACATTGTACTCATAGAAACTAGTCCTATTAGCACTTGTAGAGTCAGCAGCTTTTTGAGAGATTTGCAAGCAGTTAAGCGATTAAAATGAAATGTCTTTATTTTTCGTCTTAAAAATCCGTTTGTCCACCGTCGGCATCTTTTTAATCTATTATATAGATATCAAAATTCATGTTTTCTATCCGGAAAGAATCCGAAAGAGACAAGAATTTATTATGCGAATAATATTAGCTTATATATGACAACATAAACAACACGCATTGGCAGCTGTGATAAACCTAGTTTAAATTTATTTATTCATTTCAGTCTATCAAAGTCCATTGCTGAATATAGATCTCCGCAAAGAATGTCTCATGACGTCTATAAAGTTGGAAAGGTCATTTGGGCAAAATCACTAAAAAAAATTCTAAATATTAAGTGCTCATTTAGTGCTAATTTAGTGCTGCAATATTAAATTTCACGCCAAAATAGCTTGATCAAAAATTAAGAAAACTGCTAGCTTTTAATTAAGTTAGCGGTGTTCTAAAACCTAAACCGATAACCGCCTAATACAGCACCAAATAGAAGCATCAATGATTTAGAGCTCATTTAGTGCTGCCGATATACGCAAAAAAGTTTGGGAAAATATTTATTTTTTCTTTTTAATACCATAAACTGCTACATTACCATCTTTAGCAGATATGTAATGAAAATATTGACATTAGAGTGGGTTATCACCTAATGATAAAAGATAATAAATTAGTGCTCAATTAGTGCTGTAAGAACATGCGAAAAAATCACATTTTTTTTTCATATTCCGTAAACTGCTACTCTGACATCTTTAGCAGAGTATGTGATGAAATACTGACATTCAAGTTGGCTATCACCTAATGAAATAAGATAATAATTAAGTGCTCAGTTAGTGCTGCAAGCACATGCGATAAATCTAAATTTACTAATCAAAATTTTATTTTCATATAGCGTAAACTGTAACTTTGACAGGTTCAGCAAAGTATGTGATCCAAAATTGACATCCAGGCGGGTTGTCATCTAGTGATATAGGATCATAATTCAGTGCTCATTTAGTGCTGTCGATATAAGAAAAAGTTCAGTTTCATTGTTTAACGAATTGAGTTGGAATTCGAAATAGCAACCCAAGAGCAATTGAAAAGAAAATTTAGGAATATAAGATACATATTATAGATAATTCTCGTGTAGTACTCGCTGTGTGTGACAGGCAGGCAGCGAATCCACTCGCAGCGAATATTAGCTGCGTGTGACCGAAGTCTAAGATACTTTTTTTTAATAGACTCGTCTAGAGCTAGAAGAATTTGGGATCTTAAATGGCCTTATAACTCTGTGTCATTTAATTATAATTATTGATAAACGAAACTTGGATTTTTCATTAGCAAGCGTTTCAAAAGAGAAAGTTGACATCCCAATGACATAGTTAGCCCGGCATAAAGGTTTTAATTATAAGAAGTCTTTATTTGTGCAGATCTACATTTAAGATGAACATTGCATTATCGCAAACGCAGATGTAACAAAGCGACGTGTGACGTCAAGCATAAACATAACTTGGTACTTAAAGATACGCGCCGTTTGATTTGTGTAATATTAATATCAAGGTAAGACGAATTATCGTTATAAATTTTTTGACCTAATACTTATACGAAGTATATTCCGTTGATAGCAAACACCGCTAAGATCTTCTTTTATCCGTTTAAAAGATAAAGAAAAATTTGTGATGTTATTGCGGTCATAAAAAATGTCAAGATCAAATTAGTCCAGCACGGCTAGCATGGGCTGGGGACAAAAATTTTATCCCCCGATTATATCTTGTCCCTATGCCTAAGCACGGCAACGGTCATAGACATCATATTATATACTCCGTCCGTAGCATGGAGCCAAATTAAAGATAAAAATTATGCTTTTTTGACTTTTGAAAGAGACAATTCTATCCTAGTTCATTGGACGTGGGTTTAAGTTTACATTCATACAAAAAATCTATCTAAGTCTAAGTCTATCTCTCACTTTATCTACTGTGGATATTATATCCACCGGTGTGCCCATGCTCGAAGGGTGATAAAACTAAGCGAGGGGATAAACATTTTCTCCTTTCCCCGGGGATAAAATTGTCACCTGTCCATGCTGGAGGAGGAATCGGCGCATGAGTACTGAAAACTATTCCACCTCAATTTTTTATGCGATTCTTTTCAAATGGTTCTACTGATGATATAAATGCACTGATGATATAAATGCATGTTGCCATGGGGCAACTCAGTGTCAGAGTGTTTAAACCGATTTTTTTTCCATTGCAAGGTATTATTATTTTAAACGGGACAATGTATTTTTATTTTTGATGAATTACGAATTAAGACGGTCCTATGACTTTTTACGATAAAATTAATACTTTCGGGAGTTATGAATTTTTAAATTTTTGATAAATCCCAAATTCGAATTTCGAACGAAAATTTTGACTCATTAAAAATATATAAAGAACAAGAATAAAATATAAAATATTTTTTTTATATTCTTTAACGAAATACGAATAAAAAAGGTGATATTATTTTTTACGATAATTTTAATATTTTCAGAGTTATGAATTTTTAAATGTTTGACATTTCCCAAATTCTGATACTTTGACTCATTAAAATATGTAAGTAAAGAAAAATAATAAAGTATAAAAGATATTTTTTATATTCTTTAATAAAATACGAATAAAAAAATGCGTGAGTGTCGTGGAACACTCGGTTGGAACGAAGTTCCTTGCGTAGTATATTATTATTGATAACGTAGGTATTATATTATTAACAGATACAAATAAATGAATTACTAGCGTCTATTAAAATGAAGCGTCATTTAAAATAAAATAATATTTCTTTCATGGCAAGATAAGCAAAAGTGCGAGGGAGATGGATATTATTCCATCTCACTTTCTTATTTCGCCCCCAAGGCCGTCTACACTATGACGCAAGGGGTAGTGACGAAAAAATCTTACACTTTTTATCCGCCAAGCCTGTACCGTCCGATAAGGAACTTCGTTCCAAAAAAGATCCTACCACTTTTTGCGATAAAGTTAATATTTTCGGAGTTTGAAAAAACCTGAATTCGGATACTTTTAGACTTTTTGAAAAGATAATTTTTATATTCTATAGACAATAGTTAATAATATCCTAAAGCGAGAATAAAAAAAAAATTATACATTGAAATTATTTTTCCAAAATTTGTCATTTGTTTATTGATTGGCGTTATGTTTTCATCCCATTTGAATCATTTTCATCACGTTAAAAATTGGAATAATTATGGAATATGAGTACCACCATGACATCAACGCGGCACAAGCGACATTTACGGAGCTAATACTACAAACGAACACACCAGCTGCTATTGGTTTGCCCGCTTCCGTTCTGGAAATTACGACCTGAAAAATGAATCCCGTGATCGTCCGAAAACTTTGGTCGACAATGACGAATTAAAGGCGATTGTGGAAACGAATGATACTTATACGGGATCAGCAATTACTGCAGATGTGTACTGTGAAGAACTGAACACAATGATGGAGAAGCTCGCACGTCTCCAACCAGCTTCGGTCAATCGCTCGTCCCCGCTGCTCCTGCAAAACAACGCGCGACCTCATACTGCATAACAGATGGTCTACAAGTTACAAGAGCTGGGCTTGGAAGCTATTAATCCGTACTCAACAGCCCTTGCGCATACCTTCCGCATACTGCACAACAAACGGTCTGCAAGTTACAAGAGCTGAGCTTGGAAGCTATTAATCCGTACTCAACACACCTTGCGCATACAGACTTGAATAACTTTTTGGCGGGAAAAGATGCAATACCCGAGAGGCCGTACAAAATGCCTTTGAAGAATTTGTTGCCTTCCGTCCAGCTAATTTCCTCAAGAAGGGCATCAATAAACTGCCACTGCGTTGGCGAAGATGCATCGATTGCATGGGTGATTACTATGATAAATAAAAATAAAAATATAGAAAAAAATACGGTAACTTATTTCATAAAAAACGGCAATTTCAAACGTTTTTGATTGAAGAAACAAAATATTTAATCAATCATGTTTTCAATTTTATTCAAATGTCATTCAAACTGTAACTGTTTTCGGTGGAGATGCCATTAGCCGATGTTAGTGATTCACTAAGAGAGGAGTCGTATACAGTGGACGCCGTGGACACAGCAATAATCTATTATTGTTGCAAGTCAGTCAGAGAATCGTCTACTAAGAATTTACTGGTGAACTCAATGGTGTTACCTCAATACAAGCCAAAAAAGGCCAGCATGCCCTATGCAATTCACTACACCGAACGCGAACCAATTACGAATTATTAAAATTTTCACGCGCTTGTATATAAACTGGGTATGAGTGCGTAAACTGATTATGAGATTATATTTCAATTATCACGTGCTTCATAATATTAGCTGTAACAATGATGAATGATGTAACAAAAATTCTCAAAGTTCATAAGGTCAATAACGCGTCAATGACTGACGTCAAATTGAATGACGATCGAGGCATACTCAACCATTTCTCTTTCACTCGTTTGCTTCATATCAGGCTTATATTCAGGCAACCGCACCTTTCTAATTTATGAACAATCACTGTAATGTCGGATTAGTATGGGGCGCAAGTCGGTTTCTATAGAAATTAGAATTATATTTGATGATGCAATTGCAAAACGGTGGCAATAAATGTAACTATTTTAGTGTTTGTTTTGAGTGAAGAGTTGAATAATTACAAATGTGAAACAAGTGTTTAATCTATGAGATATATTAGTAAATTTGCGTGTTTTATTGATAGACAATAAGTGATATAGTACGCTAAGAGGGATTTAACATGTGCACTACTTTAAGCGACGAAAGAAAGAAAAATTGTTTAAATAAAAAAAAACCATAACATCGTCATAACCTGCGCGTGTTTTATATTTCATATTTGTAAAATCCATGAAAGGCAATTTAATAAATCCATGTACACTCTGTT